TATTATTGTTATTACTATAGCAGTATCTTTCACGCCAGGAGGATGCCTCAAAGTGCTTCACAGGGCATACTGTAAAGTGCAGTGACTGTGTGTTTTTGGACGAATGCATTTGGCAAGTGGACAAATGGACTATCCCTTCAACGTTCTATCCCATATTGGATAGGTCTCAGAGCTTCACTGTGGCTGGGGAGAAGAAGAAGGGGAAGCAGGAACCATACACATGGTTGAATAGATAGGCTAAGGTGAATTTACTATTAATAATAATGCTTTCATTAAATACACTGCCTTTCACATCGGGAGGACATCTCAAAGCACAATGGTTAGTGGGATTCATTCAGCAATCCAAGCACTTTGAGGCGTCTCGAAGACGTGATAAGCCGCTACATCAAATGCAAGGATAATTATGTTATTATTATCATTATTTGATATAGCATGTTATCACATTGTTGAAACATCTCAAGGCACATCACAAGATTTACTGTAAAGTGGAGTGGCTATATGTTTGTAAGCAGATGCAGCAGCCAATTTGCACATGGCAATGTCTCACAAACAGCCATGATGTGAATGACCTATTTTATTTGGGAGATTGTCGGCCAGGACACCAGGAGAGAGAAACTTCCTTCCTTCAACTAATGCCTGTCATAATGCCTTAAACCACTTCATAGGTAATTGCTGTCTATTAAAGTAACTGGTTTCACAAGCAAGTGAATTGAATGGTCGATTAATCTGGAGGATTGCTGGCCAGGACATCCGAGAAAATACTTTTCTCTTAATTGAACAATTCTGCTGGATCTTTAACATCCGCCTAAAGAAGAAGCAGAGTGTGGCACCTTCGACCGTGTCACGCTCCCTCCCATTCCTGTGCAGGAATCTTAGCCAGACTGTGAATTCAAGGTTACTAACATGGAACTTGAACCTACAACCCCCTGACCCAACACGAGAGCAATTGAGCATAAGTGCAAGTTGTTGTTATTGTTGCTGAGAGTACGGCTCAGTTGGATGCACTGTCGCATTTGGGTCAGGGGTTTGTGGGTTCAATCTGCCCTTGAGTCAGACTATGAGCTCTGTTCCACAATCCCTCCGCCTTGCCCCCTCCTTCCCCTTTTTTTGATCACGACTGAAGACCTTCCTCTTTGACCGTGTTTACGCTCACCTCCTCCTTCCCCCCGGCTCGGCCTCAGGCTCTGTCACTGTTAAGCGCTCGGAAGCGCTGGCCCATGTGAAGGGCGCTGTGTTAAATGCAAGTTGTTCTTGTTGTACGCCTAACCACAGGGCAGAGTAACCCGAGGTTTCACAACCAGGACCTACCTCATTGATCAAGCCACCTGACAGCTAAATAGCTTATAAGTAAACAATTGGGAACTGTACAGTTTAATTGTTAACTAGGGAAACGGTTGGAGAAATTTTGGGGTCAGCGGGTGTATTTTAGTCACTTTCAGCCCAGAGAAACAGGGAACACGGTGAACCCGAACTGGGTTGTTGCTCTTCAGAAAAACAATTCGACACACAAGGCTGCACGCAAAGATATGGAATAAACAGTGATGCTTATCTGAGCTGCTCACTCCTCAGTTACAAATTATATAAAGGTTCATTCGACCCAACTAGTCTGTGGTGAGTTCATACGAGACTCCATCCCTGTAACACGTGCGTTTGATGTAGTTTGAGATGTGATGTAGCGCCTTATCACATCTCAAAGCGCTTCACAGAATACAACAATAATAAAGTGGATTGACTGTGTATTTTCTGGGCGAAACGTGACAGCCAATTGCACTCAGCAGTGTCCCACAAACAGTCGTGGACTGATTGACCACATTTTTTTAAGAGATTATTACCCCTGGAAAGTAATCCGCTAATCAACTAATATCCGGGTGCCTACTTACTGCTAGGTAAACAGAGGTGTGTGGAGTAAGGAAACTTGCCTAAGATTTTGCCCCCACCCGGGAATCGAACCCAGATCCTCTCACTTGCGAGGTGAGTGCTCCAACCACTGAGCTACAGGACTCCATCAGATTTCTTTGCAGTGTTACTTTACTCCCTGTTCTTAAAGACACATCCCTTTGGTCAACATCCTTGAAATCTCCTTTCTGCGCAGGGCTCCCTATCGCCTGTAAAGCACTTCCAAGATGTTTGTCCTAATGTCCCGTCTTCTACTTCGGTTATCTGATACTATCCTTCCTGAGCAACCTATTGATCCTTCTTATGACATGATGGGACGAGTGGCCTCTTCTGGGCTGTATATTTCTACAATAACGACGCTGTATAAGTGCAAGTTCTTGGAATAATAATAATCCTTACATTATTCTCTACCAAAAGAAGCAGAGGGGAGGTCAGAAGAATTTTGGGCAAGTTTCCTTACTCCACGCAGAGCCTAATAATAATCCCTCCAAAACCAAAAACAATAATAAATTGGTCATTTTCAATCTACGACTGTTTGTGGGACATTGCTGTGCGCAATTGGCTGCCGCGTTCGCCCACAAATATACAGTCAATTTACTTTACAGTGTGTTCTGTGAAGCGCTTTGGGACGTCCTCCCGACGTGAAAAGCGCTATATCAAATGCAAGGATTATTATTATTATTATTATTATCACGTCATCGAGACATCTCAAAGCGCTTCACAGGTGTACCATAAACTGGATTGACTGTATTTTGAGGGCTAAATGTGGCAGCCAGCAATGTCCCACAAACAGTTGTGAAATGAGTGACCAATTTTATTTGGGGGATTGTTGACTAGGACACCAGGAGGGAGAAACTCCCTTCTCTTTTAAAATTCTCTTTTAAAGAACCGTCCAAGTCCTGACGTGGGGCTTGAACCCACAATCTTCTGACTCAGAGGTGAGTGCGCTACCACTGAGCCAGACTGATACACATTCCTCTAAACAGAGTGATCTAGATTTTTCTCTCTCTCTTTTTCTCTCCCTCCAATTCTCTTCGCTCCTCTGCTACATGCATTCTACATACCTCAGCTAAGTCCCCACTCTTCACTGAGCCCGGATGATGGGTCCACCTCACACCAGTCACCGACAATGACTGGACAATGTTTTTTTTGGCTACATCTTTATAATGGGATTATAGCTTACCATGAGCTCCTCCTCATGGCCAAGGGGGTAATAGCAGTAGATCGTATGTAAAGTTGCAGGCTGGAATCCTGATCTGTGCTTCAGTCATCTGAGATCAACCATGGTGTGAACAGTTGGCCTCAATGCCTGTAGGTTTGGTGGTTGGAATAACCCTGGGCTGCTGTTCCTGATCTGGACTCCTGTAATAAATAATAATAATAGTAATTTGGTCACTCAATCCACGGCTGTTTGTGGGACACCACTGTGCGCAATTGGTTGCTGTGTTTCCCCCCACAAAATACACAGTCAACCCACTGAACAATACATTCTGTGAGAGACGTCTCAATGCTGTGATAAGGCTCTATATCAATTGGATTATTATTTTATTACTGCTAGAGGGAGCTGCGCTTTTCTTTGGAGGGATTGTTAAACTTTGAGGGGATCATTTAATAATAATAATCATAAGTAAAGTTTTAAACTTTGGAAACGTGTGTTTGTGAACAAAATTACACGACCACATCAATTGCAGTTCTTAACAGCCACAGCAACGACTTAACATTTATTTCTACAGCGCCCTTCATGCAGGGGTAGTATCTCAGAGCACTTAAACAATTCCATAGCAATTAAGCTCGAACAAAACAACAATTTGCAATTTTACAATAGGGCCTTTTCACATCAGGCATCGTCTCGGTGTGCTTCACAGTGACAGGATCTGACACTGGGCAGGGGAGAGGGGGAGAGGGGAAAGGGAGATGACTAATGGAAGAGGATTTTAGGTGAGATATATAATAATCCTTGCATTTGATAAAGAGCCTTATCACGTCTTCTAGATGTCTCAAAATGCTTCACAGAACATACTGTAAAATAAATTGACTGTATGTTTTGTAGGTGAAACGCAGCAGCCAATTGCGCACAGTAATGTCCCACAAAGAGTCGTGGATTAAGTGACCAAATTATTATTAAAAAAATGATTACACCTGAGGACCTTTCTCTTCGTCTACGCCTACAGTCCCTTCCCCTTTCTCCCAGCTCGGTGTCAGGCTCCTCCACTGTAAAGCCCTCCGAGACGCTAACCTGCACGAAGCAAGTTGTTGGCATCTGTTTTATCATTTGCACAAATGCAATGAATGCAATGACGCAAAGATGGGCCGCTTGCCACTGTAGACCTCTGTTTCTTTTGCTGGTTATTTCAGTCTGAAATACCTCTGAAGCAAGCAGAGGTTCTGCGATTCCCTGCCAGTAATTTCAAAGAAAGAAAAAAAAACACATTGCCAGTCAAGTCGCCTCTGCCTCTCTCCGCCTACAAACGCAGCTTTTGTTTTCGTTTGGGGGGAAAAAAGTTGCGAAGCCAAACATTTCACACTGCATCAGCTAAGAGGACCCCTGCATACTGCCCAGTTGCTTTTCTTCCTGTAGCGTAGCTTGTAGGTTAGACCACTCCGCCTCTCTTTTCTGGGGTTAATAATCCCCTTAAAAATATATTTTTTAAATCGTAATTTGGTCGCTCAATCCATGAATGTTCGAGGCGTCTCAAAGCGCTTCACAAAATATGCCGTAATAATAATTTGTTCACTCGTTGCGTGGAATAGAATATTATATTTGTCGTCCAGGACACCGGTGGAGAGAAGCACCCTTTTCTTTTCCAATAGCGCTGCGGGATCTTTAATTTGAGCGGGCAGACGGGACCTCGGTTTAACGCCTCCGAGTCTTTTAAGCGCTTAGAGACTCTGCCCAGCGTGAGGAGCGCTATATGAATGCAAGTTGTTGTAGTTGTTGCCGGACCTGAAGCACGGATGGGCCAAGACAATACATGACAATCCCCGTCCTTTACACTTGACACGACTAGGACTTGGCCCAATGCCAGCAATGCTTTGCTTAGCTGCCCAGCCACAGCTCAGCAGCCAACTGTTTCAGCTGCACACACACACACACACACGCAAGGGGGAGTTGCGAGCGAGGAGGAACTAGGATGAGTTCACGGGAGGATGAGGCATAGAAAGAGTCCGAGGGTTTGTCTGCTGGATGCAGGAGTCAGTCACTCGTATACTCTGCGGTGAGGTGAGTAGGTAAGCAATTCGCAGTGACCATCTCTCGGTACAAACCAACTTTTTTCCTCCCAAACGAAAACAGAAGCTGAGTTTCTTTGAAATTACTGGCAGGGAATCGCAGAACCTCTGCTTGCTTCGGAGGTATTTCAGACTGAAATAACCAGCAAAAGAAACAGAGGGCTACAGTGACAAGCAGCCCATCTTTGTGTCACTGCTTCTCTCTGCAACTGATTACTTCAGGTCGCAAACTGTAGTACGCATATCAGATTGCACTGTGTCGATTAGCAATGAGTTCTGTTGATGTTGCTGTTATTTTTCTTGCAGAATTTTCCAGTGTTTTGACTTTTAGAATAGAAGCCAATTACTGTCCTCACTGCTCTCTTTTATCCCAGCGTACAGTCTAGGAGAGCCGCCTCACTTGAGACCATGCCTTGCTTGTTAATTTCCTACGCACTCTGCTCTGACACTGTTCATTGCATGATTCATGATTCCAGTAGGTGTTAATTACAAAGTCCAGCACCAAGTTAATGTAAGGCTCTTTGGCTGATCCAACAACAACAACAGCAAAATTACATTTGTATAGTGCCTTTCATGTCGGGAGGACGTCCCAAGGCGCTGGACAGTTAGTGTTTCGGACCCGAGCTGGGGGTCAGGGTCAGAGAGAGTGGAGGGCGGGGGGGGGGGGGGAAGCAGGGTCGAAGAGGAGGGTCTTGAGATGGGTCTTGAAGGAGGCAAGGGAGGGGGAGAGGTGAAGGGACTGCAGGAAGGAGTTCCAGAGGATGGGGGCAGAGTGGCAGAAGGCTCGCCCGCCAATAGTAGGGCAAGCGAGGCGTGGGACGTGAAGCAGGCCACAGCTTGCTGAGTGGAGGGAGCGAGCAAAGTGATAGGGGTTTAGGAGGTCGCATCCACATTATTTTACACACACACACTAAAGGGATTGATAGATCAATGTGAAAACTAGAGGGTGGGTGGAAGTGTGGATGAGGGAAAAACAATCAAGTTGGGTTTATAACAAGGGTGTGGAGTTATACAGTGCCTTTCATGTGGGAGAAGTGTACTTTGCCCACAAAGTACACAGTCAATTCACCTTACAGTATATTCTGTGAAGCTTTGAGACGTCTCGACGTTGTGATAAGGCGCTATTTCAAATGCAAGGATTATTATCATAATGAGGCTTTGGATTTATACACTGACTTTCACGTAGGAGAAGCTTCTCAAAGTGACTTACAGACAGTGGGAACCCCAGCTGGGTGGGGGATGGGCAGGGGCAGGGTATTGTCGAGGTTTTACAAAGCACAGATACACAGAGAAAAAGAGAGAGAAAAAAAAGGAAAGTTCTTGAGAATATGGCCGGGAAGGGGATGAAGTGACTGAAAGCTGGTCTGCGTATTGTGGAGCGAGGGGCAGTGGGGAGCCATGTTGCAGGCCAGGACCTAATTAATTAAAAAAAGTCTAGTGATACAGTAATAACAGCAAAAATCCTTGCTGTAAAGTGGAATTGACTGGAAGCTTTTGTGGATGAAATGCGCCAGCCAATTGCACACAGCGATGTCCCACAAACAGATGTGGATTGAGTGCCCAAATTATTGATTAATTAATCACTTAATTTGAAGGGGTTATTACCCCCTGAAAGCGATCTGTCAATCGACTAACAACTGGGTTCCTACTTACTGCTAGATAAACAGAGACGTGTGGATTGGAGTAAGGAAATTTACCCAAAGTTTCGCCTTGCCCGGGAATCAAACACAGGTCCTCTCGCTTGCGTGGTGAGTGCTCTAACCAATATACTACTGAACTCTACTAGTGGGAATCTCCACTGCAGTAGGAATAAATCTATGAGAACGCCAGAACTCCCAGTATGTATAATAATAATAATCCTTGCATTTGATATAGCGCTTTCACGTCTTCTAGATGTCTCAAAGCGCTTCACAGAATAGACTGTAAAGAGAATTGACTGAATATTTGTGGGCGAAACGCGGCAGCCAATTGCACACAGCAGTGTCCCAAAAACAGGCGTGGATTGAAAATGGCCAATTTTTTTTTGTTGTTTTGGAGGGATTATTATTAGGTGTGTGAAGTAAGGAAACTTGCCCAAGGTTTCGCCCTCTGCCTGGAATTGAACTCAGGTCTCTCGCTTGCAAGGCAAGTGCTCTAACCACTGAGCTACAGGACTCCATGGTGGAGATATAGAGGTGGAGGGACGGGGAGAGCTGAGGAGAGGGGAGGTGCGGTCAGAGATGGGACTTAAGGGTGCACTTGAAAGCTATGGATGGAGAGGGTCTTAATTTGGAAGCTGGTTTCGTTTTAAGATCTGCGGGAAACTGGCTTCAGAATTAAGTCTGATCTTTCCTCAATTATGCACCGCATTAACTTGAGACAGAAAGTGGTCTCGCATGTTGAGACTGAGTGGAATTCCAGTGCTCTGGTGACGAAAGGTTGATCCGTCTGAGTCAGAAGTTTTTAATCAATGGGTTTAAGTAAATTAATCAATGTTTATTGCTAGCGCTTGCTGACCAGACTGAGTCAAGCTGCTGTATAGACCGATGCCCAACGTACATGTCGCAAGTCAGTTTTCTCTCTAGAAAGTGGGGAGCAAAAAGTTGCCCCCAGACCTGCAGGTCCTAATGTAACCCTTCTGCCTGTTCAGGTGGACGTTAAGAGATTCTGTGGCACTGTTCAAAAAGTGAAGGGAATCTCTCCCTTCCAGGCTATCCCGGCCAACAACCCCCCCAGACAAAACTGTTCATTTACTTAATGGCTGTTTACGGGGAACTTGCTGTGCCCAAATTGGTGCCGCATTCACCTTCAAAATACACAGTCGCTACACTTTATAACGTATCCACTTTGAGACATCCCACAGATGTGAAAGGCGCGATACCAAATGCAAGGATTAATCTATAATGTGCTGGTGAGTATGAGTCTTGCTGTAGATTTTTCTCTGTGATGAACTGCACTGTTTTAGTCGGTTAACCTCCACCAATTAGGGATCCTCGTGGAAACTCAGAAACCGATAGTTGAGGCTCCAGCGTGTGTGTGTGTATATATATATATGTATATATATATAGAGAGAGGGAGAGAGAGTGAGTGAGAAAGTAATCATGCCAGAGGAGTGGAGGATGGCCAATGTAATACTGCACCTATTTTAAAACGGTCACAGAGCTAATCCAGGAAACCACAGGCCAGTCATCTTAATGTCACTTTGTGGGCCAGGTATTGGAATCCATAATAATAATCCTCGCATTTGATGTAGCGCCTTATCACATCTTTGAGACGTCTCAAAGTGCTTCACACAATATACTGTAAAGTAGATTAACTGTATGAACACGACCAGCTTACCTAAGCGCTCCTTGTAGACCAGTCCCTTCCCCTCAATCATGTTGGTTGTCCTCCTCTGAAATCCTCTCAGTCACTGCAATATCTTTTTTGTATTGCGTTGACCAGAACGGCACAGATTTCTTTCTGATCGCGGTCCTAAACAGCCTCAAAGTTATGATGTTCACTGTTCTTCTGTCCCAAGCTTCTGCCCCCCCTTCCGAGCTCACTGAAGAATGTCGGCCGGGAAGCCGGTGATCGTGGTGCATGGCGGTTGCGGGGTATATCTGCCGGAACTTATGGAGGGGTCAGTCCTGGGAGTGAGGGCTGCTGCTCTCAAGGGCTTTTGTGTCCTTCAACAGGGAGGCAGTGCCCTGGACGCTGTGGAGGTGGCCACGGTGGCCCTGGAGGACAACCCTCTCTTCAACGCAGGTAACTGCTCCTGGGGATAGTCGTCAAGTATGAAGAAGGGAGGGGGAGAGATAAATAATAAATAATAATGCTTGCATTTGATATAGCGCTTTTCACGTCTTCTAGATGTCTCAAGAGCGCTTCACAGAATATACTGTCAAGTGAATTGACTGTATATTTGTGAGCGAAACACGGCAGCCAATTGCGCACAGCAATGCCCCACAAACAGTCGTGGATTGAAGTCACCAAGTTATTTTTTTCTGAAGGATTATTATCTCCGGAAAAGCGATCCGTCAATCAACTAACAACTGGGTTCCTACTTACTTACTGCTAGGTGAACAGAGACGTGTGGAGTAAGGAAACTTGCCCAACATTTCGCCGGGAATCAAACCCAGGTCACTTCCTTGCAAGGCGAGTGCTCTAACCACTGAGCTACAGAAGATGGCTAAAAGCGCGGTCAAAGAAGTACGTTTTGAGACAGCTCACTATGTGATAAGGAGCTTTATCAAATGCAAGGATTATTATTTATTTTTTACGTTTTGGGATGTGGCTGCCTAGGCAGACGGTGGAAGCAGAAAGTGTCGATTGTTTCAGAATCAAACAAGACAGATTTATCTCAGGAAATAATATCTTGGGATACAATCTATAGTTTGGGACATTACATGTGCATGCGACTGCCAGGAAGGTGGAAGTCTTCTTTCATCTAGCATTTCCTATGTTATTATGTGTCTTGAACAAGGTGAGCGAGCGAGGGAACTAGCGAGTTGGAGGGACTCTAGGATGGAGTTCCAGAGAGTAATAATAATAATAATAATAATAATAATAATAATAATAATCCTTGCATTTGATATAGCGCTTTTCACGTCGGGAGGACGTCCCAAAGCGCTTCACAGAATATACTGTAAAGTGAATTGACTGTATATTTGTGGGCGAACGCAGCAGCCAATTGCGCACAGCAATGTCCCACAAACAGTCGTAGATTGAAAATGACCAATTTATTATTGTTTTGGGTTTTTGGAGGGATTATTATTAGGCTCTGTGTGGAGTAAGGAAACTTGCCCAAGGTTTCGCCCTCTGCCTGGAATTGAACCCAGGTGTCTTGCTTGCAAAGCAAGTGCTCTAACCACTGAGCTACAGGACTCCGAGTAGGGGCAGAATGGCTGATGGTGGGGCAGGGGGACGTGAAGCAGGCCGGTACCCACTGAGCAAAGTGAGCAGCCGGGTCAGTAGGGTTGAAAGGGGTCACAGAAGTAGGGGAAGGGGCGAGACCCTGGATGGATTTCACGGTGCGATCAAGGAACTTGAATGCACTGCGCTTGGGGAATGGGGGATAGAATGGAGCCAAGCAAGGATCTGGGTGATAAGATCGCAGCGCCTGGTGTGGGAGAGGACACGAGCTGCTGAATTCTGAATCGTCTGCAGCTTGTGCAGGGAAATTATATTCAAAGCTCCTCACTCCTACAGCTGCACTATCTGGCTGCATCAGACTTTTGACCTCATTTTCCAGGCTGATGTTCCAATGGAGTCCTGTAGAGATAGGTGGTGGTTGGGGGTGGGGTGGGGGTGTGGAACAAGGCATTGCATTATCAGAGATGCCGTTCTTCCGTGGAGACGTTAAGCCGACATTACATATTCTTACATATCCTTCCCTCATTGGAAAGGAGAAAGGAGTTACTTCCAATGTGCTAACTGACAATTTCCCTCTCCCTCCCCCTCACACACTCAGAAGTGGCTTACTTTCAGGAGCAAACACTGGCGGGGGGAAAAAATAATGTACTGAATCGTCTCCTTCTGTGTTGTAACCTGTACCTGGTTTCTTAGTCTGGCTCCAGTATTCCGGCTAACGCCTACTTGTGGTTAGCAAACCGACTAATCCAGTCCAGTCTGTATTATATAAATGCATTGTATAAATGCAAAGGCAAGTCGTTGTTATAATAATAATTAATAATAATCCTTGCGTTTGATATAGCTCCTTATCTCATTGAGACGTCTCAAATTGCTTCACAAAATATAAAAGGTTCAGGAATCGAACCTGGGTCCTCTCGCTTGTGAGGCGAGGGCTCTAACCACTACACTACAATACTCCGTAAATGCAAGTAAATGCGACTTGTTGTTGTACCTGAAATGAAGTAGCCTGTGGGAAGCATGCCAGCAGATCCTGAAGTGCCAAGATTTTGCAGTGAATAGAGCTTTAACCCACCCCGTGATTGTTTGTGGGACACTGCGGTGCGCAATTGGCTGCCGCGTTTCGCAACACCAAATACACTGTCACCACACTTTACAGTATATTCTGTGAAGCACTTTGAGAGGTTTCGAAGACGTGTTAAGGCGCTATATCAAATGCAAGGATTATTATTATTACCCATTCTTGCCCGTCGTGTATGTCATGACAAGCAAGCACGCCTGTTTTTCCCTCCAAGGGCTGCAGATCATTCAGAACTCTGCAGCTTATGTCTTCTCCTGCACCAGGCTCCGTGACCCCATCAACTCCACCCTCGCCTGGCTCCACTGGCTCCCCATTCCCCAGGGGATCGAGTTCGAAATCCTCATCCTTGCTTTCCATGCCGTCCATGGCCTTGCTCCTCCCTACCTCTGTGACCTTCTAACTCCATATCAACCGGTCCGCTCCCTCCACTCAACGGCCTTCAGCCTTTCTGCCCTCACCCTTTGGAACTCCATCCCACAGTCCCTTTGCCTTACCCCTTCCCTTGACTCCTTCAAGGCCCGACTCAAGACTCTCTTCTTCGACCGAGCTTCGGGCATCCTCCTACACCTACCCTCCCTGGCTATTTGGCCCATCGTGCCTGTGCCAGCTCTTTAAAAGAGCTACCAACTAGTCCCACTCCCCTGCTCTCGTCGCACAGCCCTGCAAAATTTTGAAGTACGTAGCCAATTCCGAATAAGGTGGTAATTTTCCCACCAAGCACACAACAACACCTTGCGCTTCTGTAGCACCCTTCACACAACGTAGTGTCTTGGAGTGCTTAACAGTTGATGTTGGGGAAGAGAGGGGAGGTGACCATAGGCATGATCGAAGAGGAAGGGCTTCAGGTGCAATCTGAACATTATCCAGGACTTTCAGACAGAGGGATTGAGGCAGAGAGTTCCAAAGTCCCAGAGGTGGCGTGAAGCTCTCTCTAATCTTGTCTAACAATGTGTCTTATTCCCAACCTCAGAAAGTAACTTTGACTGGACCAGGGTGAATATTGCCATTTCCACTTACAGTCTCACTAAAGTCATGCTGACAGTTTAGCAGTAGTTCAGTGCTTTACGTCCATCTCCACTCGAAACCAAGTTACAAATGCCTCAACTCATTTTACTTGCCGAATAGATTTCATTCGATCCATCTAAACTGATTCAACCACTTTCTACCACTCTATATTTTGTGGACGAAACGCAGCAGCCAATTGTGCACAGATTTGGGCCTTTGATGCCGTCTCTGATTCCACCAGTGAAATAAAACTTGTGGGTTTCCCTTCTGCTCTAGGCCATGGAGCCGTGCTGAATGAGCGCGGCGAGATAGAGTTTGATGCCATTATAATGGATGGAAAAAGCCTCAATGCAGGAGCTGTCTCGGCTGTCAAGAACATCGCTAATCCCATCAAACTCGCTCGGCTGGTTATGGAAAAGGTACTAATTACACTGCTCGGTGCATTAGTCGTGGGGCATTGCTTTCCCTCTGCCTCAGTCGGAGAGCTGGAACCTGATTGATGTGTGTGTCCCCCTGTGATGTCAGATTTAAGCAGCAACAACAACAGCTGGTAGTTACACCGCTCCCTTCATGCAGGACGGCATCTCAGAGCGCTGCACAGTGGCGGGGTTGGATGCCGAGCGAGAGGCGAAGGTATTAGGTTTCTGGGTAGAACCCCCGGATCACCTTAGCCGATGATTGACTTGACAATTCCAATATGGGTGTAAAGAAGGTTTTATTGTAACATTTGTAGAGTCATTCGTGCGCGCACGATATTATTGCGTGTGTACGAATGATTCTACAAAGCTCTGGACAGCAACCCAGCCCTTGAGGTAACCAGGTTATGCTCAGTTCTGCTGAGCTGTACTAGCTTGGCGAGCTTCCTTTACATCCTGAGATAAAAATGTTTAAGCCCCTCCATATCTGGACTTTTGCTTTTCTCAGTGTTCAACTTCTCTATTTTATCTCGAGTTCCCGTTCAAACATTAACTCGGGTTACAGTTGAGTCAGGGTATCCTGCAGATCATGTGTGCAAGCCTTGTGATTTAAACCACAAACTGAGGTCATGTACCAACTTGTTAACTCTTTACTCTTTACTTCCGTTATCCGTGCTAGCTCTGAAAATGTATACATATGTAAAATGCACTTAAATCCCTGACTGTGCAAACGTCCTGGGAAGTCCTCCCGATGTGAAACGCGCTATACAAGTGTATTTTTGTATTTTGTAATTTACTTCTGTACAGAGCCTTTCACATCGGGTGGATTCACGCAGCTCTGTCTGGACACTAGAGCTTGGCGAGGAGTTCCGGAGAGGGCGGCAGGAGGGGAAGGCGGGGCAGAATGGCTGAAAGGTCACTCGTCAATCGGTGGCAACATAGGAACAGGAGGAGGCCATTCAGCCCCTGGAGCCTGTTCCGCCATTCTTTTAGATCATGGCTGATCTGTGCCTCAACTCCAATTGCCCGCCTTTGCCCCATTTCCCTTGATATCCTGACCTAACAAATATCTATCCACCTCAGTCTACAAATTTCAATTGCTCCAACATCCACAGCCCTTTGGGGGGGAGACTGTTCCAGATTTCCATCACTGGGGGGAACAGGAAGCAACCAGGAATGAGGGTTTTATTGGATATCAGGACAGGTTTGGGAAACTGGGGCTGATCCCACTGAATTCATGATGGATGGTGAATGGGCAACAAAGGGACATTACTTCGGGGCTATCACTGGGGCAGTTCAGTGGGAGGTCAGGAGAAATGTTGTCAAGGGATGGTTATTGGAGCATGAAATGTTACACCATGAGTGGCTATTGACCTGACACCAAAACAATCTTTATCAAATTAGATAAACACTTGCTGAAGAAGAATATAAAAGGGTGCAAGGATCGGAGGCTTGCTTGCTCTCTCTCGCTCTCTGAATCTCTCTCCCACTCGTTAAACATTACACCGAGGTCCTGTCTGCCTGTTCAGTTGGACATTAAACAACAACAACAAAATTACATTTGTACAATGCCTTTTGTGTCGGGAGGACATCCCAAGGCACAGGACAGTCAGTGTTTCGGACCCGAGCTGGGGGTCAGGATAGGGGAGGGTGGAGGGCATGGGAAGGGAAGGAGGGTGATCAAAAGCATGGTCGAATTCTTGAGATGGGTCTTGAAGGAGGCAAGGGAGGGGGTGAGGCGTAGGGACTGCAGAATGGAGTTCCAGAGGGTGGGAGCAGAATGGCAGATGGCGCGCTCACCAATGGTATGGCGGGCGAGGCGGGGGACATGAAGCAAGCCGGAGCCCGCTGAGCGGAGGGAACGGGCAAGATGGTAGGGGGTTAGGAGGTCACAGAGGTAGGCGGGAGCAAGACCATGAAGAGCTTTGAAGGTAAGGATCTTGAACTGTACGCTCTGTGATGGGAAGCCAGTGGAGTTGGGCAAGGATGGGGTTGATAGGGTTACAGAGCCTGGTGCGGGAGAGGACACGAGCTGCAGAGCTCTGGATGATCTGCAACCTGTGGAGGGAGGAGCTGGGGAGGCTGATAAGCAAGAAGTTTGCATCGTCAAGGCCCGATGTTATGAATATGTGTATGAGGGATTCAGCAGCCTGCGGTGTGAGACAGTGGCAGAGCCGGCCGATGTTGCGGAGGTGGGGGAAGGCAGATCGGGTCATGGCATCGGCGTGGGGTAAAAAGGATAGTTGAGGGTCAAACAAGACCCCAAGTTTCCGGACTGGCTTAGTAAGGTGGAGTGTGCAACCATGGATGGTGATGCTGTCAGCGCCTGAGGTGAGGAGGCATTCACGGGAGCCAATCAGGAGAGCCTCGGTCTTGTTGATGTTCAACTGAAGAAAGTTATCTCTCATCCAGGACTTGATGTCTGACAGACATTCAGTGTCAATAGTGCTATGGGATTAAAGATCCCATTCCCTGCAGGGAATAATGTTGGGCAGTTTCCTTACTCCACATGCCTCTGTTTACCTAGCAGTAAGTAGGAACTCAGTTGTCAGTCAATTAGCGGATCGCTTTTCTGGGGGTAATAATTCCTTCAAAAAAAAATAATAACTTGGTCACTCAATCCACGACTGTTTGTTTGACATTGCTGTACACAATTTTGCCCACAAAATATACAGTCAATTCACTTTACAATAAATTCTGTGAAGCGCTTTGACATGTCTCGAAGACGTGATAAGGCCCTATATCAAATGCAAGGATTATTATTATTATTATTCTATAAGTGCAATTTGTTGTTGTTTCAGTTGTTAGCACTCTCAACAGTGAGTCAGAAGGCTGTGAGTTCAATCCCTTTTGTTGTGATGGTTGAGGGAGGTGTGGAGAGGAGATATTGATGGTCTACGGTGGGTGTTCAGAACATCTGATCTTGCACGTGATGTTGCTCCAAGATGAATCAATCTGCTGCTCCATTGACAATTCCTCTGTTGTTCCATCCACTTCCACTAAAGGACAGTGAGAGCACTAGTGGGTGGAGTGAGAGCTGGACTTGTCTTGTACTGTATCTCCCATACTGGAAATACTTGTCCTGTTCCACCTCAAGGGTCGTCAAAAATCTACCTCTTTGACTACACGTATGATTATCTCCGCCTCTCCCACCCTTTCTCAATTGCTCGGTGCCTGTTCTCACTAATGTTAAGTATTCCGAACCGAGTTCTGTAGTGTAGTGGTTGGAGCAGTCATCTCGCAAGCGAGAGGACCCGAGTTCGATTCCCGAGCAGGGCGAAACCTTAGGCAAGTTTCCTTACTCCACACGCCTCTGTTTACCTGGGAGTAAGCCGGAACCTGATTGTTAGTCGATTGCTGGATCACTTTCTGGGGGTAATAATCCTTCCACAAAAAATATTTGTTCATTCAATCCACGACTGTTTGTGGGACACTGCTGAATGCAATTGGCTCCCGCGTTTTGCCCCAAAAATACGCAGTCAATTCACTTTACAATGTATTCTGGGAAGCGCTTTGAGACGTGTCAACAATGTTGATAAGGCGATGTATCAAATGCAAGGATTATTATTATTATCCTGCGTGAAAGGGGCCATGTAAATGTTGTCGTTCGAGAGTGACGATGGTGCTTTTAATGGAGTGTTACCTGATCTCCTAACTGGTGTCCATCTGTTCCACAGACCAAGCATGTGATGCTGACAGATCAAGGAGCCTCACAATTTGCCAAGGCGATGGGCATCCCTGAGGTCCCGATGGAGTCCTTGATTACCGAGAAGGCCAGAAAGCAATGGGAAACCAACCTGGCTCCCGACGCCAATCCTGTGGCCTCACAAATGTAAGTCAAGTTGTCTTCCCCATCTTCTGCTCTTGCAACCTCAAATGCAGTGCAAAGCCCAATGTCTGCCTTAGGAAGGACAGCCTCTATTGCAGATATCAAAACAGTGTGGATAATTAGTCTCTGTATTTATGTATGTCTCCTTTTCTCAATGATTATAAGAACATAAGAATTAGGAGCAGGAGTAGGCCATTCGGCCCCTCGAGCCTGCCCCGCCATTCAATAAGATCATGGCTGATCTTCTGACCTAACTCTAATTACCTGCCCTATCCTCATATCCCCTAATCCCTCTATTTTTTAAAAATCTATCAGTCTCAGCCTTGAAGATGTTCAAGGACTGAGCATCTACAGCCTTCTGGGGTAGTGAATTCCATAAATTCACTACCCTCTGAGTGAAGAAATGTTTCCTCAACTCTGTTCTAAAAGGCTGACCCTTAATTTTCAGACTGTGACCCCTGGTTATAGATTCTCCCACCAGGGGAAACAGACCCTGTGTCTACTTTATCAGCCCTTTAAGAATCTTATGTTTCCATGAGATACCCCCTAATTCTTCTGTACTCTAGAGAATACAGCCCTAGTTTATTCAGCCTATCCTCATAGGTCAGTCCCCTCATCCCAGGAACTAACCGAGTGAATCTACGCTGCACCCCCTCTGGGGCAAGTATGTCCTTTTTTAAATAAGGAGACCAAAACTGCACACAATACTCTCGGTGCGATCTCACCAGGGCCCTATACAGTTGCAGCAAGACTTCCCTACTCTTGTACTCTAAACCTTTTGCAATGAACGCTAACATGCCGTTCGCCTTCTTAGTTGCTGCTGCACCTGCAAACTAACTTTTTGAGACTGGTGTACAAGGACACCCAAATCCCTCTGAACACTAACACTATCTAATCTAACTTTACACTTCCCCACATTAAATTCCATCTGCCAACTACTCGCCCACTCCCCTAGCCTATCTAGATCCCGTTGCAATCTTTTTGCATCATCCTCAGAGCTTACTCTCCCACCTAGTTTAGTGTCATCCGCGAATTTAGATACGTCACATTCAATGTCCTCGTCTAGATCATTGATGTAAATTGTAAATAGCTGAGGCCCAAGCACTGATCCTTGTGGCACTCCACCATTCACGGCCTTGCTCCCTCCTACCTCTCCAACCTACTATCCCCCTACCTACCTGCCCGTACCCTCCGTTCCTCCGGCTCCGGTCTGCTCCACGTCCCCCGCCCCAACCGCCCTACCAATGGTGGTCGGGCCTTCAGCCTCTCAGCCCCGAGGCTCTGGAACTCTATCCCCAGTGCCTTCGCCGCCTCCTCCCTTCCTCCTTCAAGGCCGGTCTCAAAACCTTTCTCTTTGACCGAGCCTTCAGCTCCCCTCTCGACTCTCTTCCCCTTCTCGCTCCCTCCCATCCCTCCCTCACCCTGACCATTTCCCCCCCCTCGCTCCCTCCCCTCCCTTCACCCTGACCATTTCCCCCCTCCTCGGGTCATGACCCAACTGTGCAGCGCCTTGGGACATCCTCCTGACGTGAAAGGCGCTTTATAAATGGAATCTTGTTGTTGTTGTTGTTGTTGTTGTAGTCACATCCTGCCAATTTGATAATGACCCGTTTATCCCTACTCTCTGTTTTCTACCCGTTAGCCACTCTTCAATCCATGCTAATATGTTCCCATTAATCTGTGGGCCTTAACCTTGTGCAATAGCCTTTTGTGTGGCACTTTGTCAAATGCCTTTTTAAAATCTAAATATACTACATCTACTGGTTCCCCCCTATCTAACCTGCTCGATACATCTTCAAAACACTCTAAAAGATTAGTTAAGCATGACTTCCCTTTTGTAAAGCCATGTTGACTCTGCCTAATCTTGTTATGGTCCTCCAGGAATCCCGTAACATCATTAATTAAGGACTCAAGAATTTTCCCTACCACTGATGTCAGACTAACTGGTCCATAGTTCCCCATCTTTTCTCTCCCACCCTTCTTAAATAGTGGTGTTACGTTTGCAATCTTCCAATCAATGGGAACCGTTCCAGAATCCAGAGAATTTTGGAAGATCAAAGACAAGCCATCCACTATCTCAGTAGCCACCTCTTTTAAAACCCTAGGATGTAGGCCATCAGGTCCAGGGCATTTATCAGTTTTAAGACCTGACAATTTACCTAAAACCATTTTTTTACTAATATTAATTCCCCCAAGTTGCTCGCTAACCTTGTCTTCTTGGTTTCCCTCTATTCTTGGTAGGTTTTCAGTGTCTTCTAAGGTGAAGACAGTAACAAAGTACTTGTTTAATGACTCTGCCATGTCTTTGTCCCCTACTATAATTCCCCCCGTCTCTGCCTGTAGTGGACCCACATTTACCTTTGACAGCCTCTTCCTCTTTATATATTTATAAAAACTCTTGCAGTCTGTCTTTATGTTCTTCACTAGTTTGCCCTCATATTCCATTTTCTCCCTCTTAATCACTTTTTNGGGTCTCCTTTGTTGATCCCTAAAGTTCTCCCGATCCTCGGGTTTACTATCATCTTAGCTGTTTTATAGGCTTCTTCCTTTAACTTTATACCCTCCCTAACTGCTCCAGTTAGCCACGGTTGGGCCACCTTTCCCGTGGCATTCTTATTCCTCAAAGGAATACCTGCTCGCTGGGAACTTTGCACGTCTCCTTAAACGTCTGCCATTGCTGGTCTACTGTCAAATCCTTAAGTCTAATTTCCCAGTTTATTTTGGCTAAATCCTCTCTCATACCAGTAAAATTGGCTCTACTTAAATTTAAAACCTTTGCTTCGGACTTAACTACTTCTCTCTCTAACTTAATGCTAAATTCCATCATATTATGTATGTGTGGCTCTGTGTGTGTGTCTCTCTCTCTCTCGCTCTCTCTCTGTCTCTGACTCTCCCTCCCTGTGTTTCAGCGCCGGTGTGTATCTCTCTCTCTCTCACTCTAACCCTGTATTTGCCTGGAGTACATCTCTCCACCTCACACCTCACACAGCTCAGGGAAATCAGGGATTTTTCTCAGCAGTGAGACTGAAAGGGGAATGATTTCCCTCCTCCTCCGCTAGTATTTACACAACTCAGGAATCTTTAATCCTAACCCTTGCATTTTGATGTAGCGCCTTATCACGTCTTCGAGACATCTCAAAGTGCTACACAAAATATACTGTAAAGTGTAGTGACTGCATATATTATGGGCGAAACGCGGCAGCCAATTGCGCTCTCCAGTGCCCCACAAACAGTCGTGGATTGAGCAACCTATTATTATTATTATTTTGGAGGGATTATTAATCCCGGAAATTGATCCGCCAATCAACTAACAAGCAAGTTCCTACTTACTGCTAGGTAAACAGAGGCGTGTGGAGTAAGGAAACTTGTCTTCTGTGAAGCGCTTTGAGACCAGGTGCTATTACAAATGCAAGGATTATTATTATTATGAACCGTAACCTTTTTGCCGTGTTTTTCCTGTGCACACAGAGGACTGGGGACGGTTGGAGCCGTGGCGATGGATTGTGAAGGGAACCTAGCCTGTGCCACCTCCACTGGAGGAATAACCAACAAGATGGTGGGGCGTGTGGGTGACACTCCATTAATAGGTACCGTCAGCAAATGTTCTTATTAACAAAATTATAACGTTTTTTAATTGCTGGAGTCTCGTAGCTCAGTGGTTAGCGCGCTCACCTTGCAAGCGAGAGTACCGGGGTTCAGTTCCTGGACCAGGCGAAATCTTAGGCAAGTTTCTATACTTCACACGCCTCTAATTATCCAGCAATAAGTAACAACCCAGTTGTTAGTCGCTTGGTGGATCGCTTTCCAGGGGTAGTAATCCCTCCAAATAAAATGTGGTTACTCAATCCACGACTGTTTGTGGGACACTTGCCATGTGCACCAGACTCCCCGACCCTATTACCCCTATCCTCGCCCGGCTCCACTGGCTTCCCATCACTCAGAAGATACTGTTCGAGATCCTGGTCCTCAATTTCAAAAGCCTCCACAGCCTTGCTCCTCCCTACCTCTGTGACTTCTTAACTCCCTACCAACCTGTCTGCTCCCTCCGTTCAACGGGCTCAGGCCTGCTTCACGTTCCCCCACCTTGCCTGCTCCACCATTGATGGGTGGGCCTTCAGCCTCACTGCCCCCACCCTCTGGAACTCCATCCCACAGTCCCTCCGCCTTGCTCCCTCACTTGTCTCTTCAAGACCCGTCTCAAGGCCCACCTCTTCGACCGTGCCTTCGGTCACCCCCCTTACCACTACTCTTCCCCGTCCTCCACACCTCCTGTTCCCAACCACCAGCTCGGATGCGGATCCCGGACTGTCTGGTGCCTTGGGACGTCCTCCTGACATGAAAGGCGCTGTACAAATGTAATTTGTTGTTGTTGTTGCTCTCTATGCACAGGATCCGGGGGCTACGCTGATAACTGCCTCGGAGCCGTGTCTACCACAGGCACAGGGGAGGCCATTATGAAGATGGTCCTGAGCAGATTGATCCTGTTTTACATGGAGCAAGGTAGCGTAATGGGGTCCATAGAAATGCAGACACTTACACCACAGGTGTGTCAGCCTGGCTCAGTGGTAGCGCTCTCGCCTCTAAGTCAGAAGGTTGTGGTTCAAGCCCCACATTGGGACTTGGAATCACATCGTCTAAATTGACACTCCAATGCGGTGCTGGGGTGAGGTGTTGCATTGTCAGAGGTGCCATCCTTCGAATGAGACGTTAAACCCAGGTCCAGATCGCATGGCCCTATTCGAAAAGAGAGGGGGTTTCTCTCTCCTGATGTCCTGGCCAACCATCTCCCAGATAAAAATTGGTCAATCATGTCATGGCTGTTTGTGGGACACTCTTGTGTGGAAGTGTGCTGCCGTGTTTTGCCCACAAAATATACAGTCACTCCATTTCGCAGTAAATCCTGTGAAGCGCTTTGAGACGTCCTTCCGACGTGATAAGGTGCTACTTGGATTCCTGTAGTGTATTGATTGGAGCGATCACCTCGCAAGCCAGAAGATCGATTCCCAGGCGGGACGAAACCTCAGGGAAGTTTCCTTACTCCACACGCCTCTGTTTACCTAGCAGTAAGTAGGAACCCGGTTGTTAATCGATTGGCGGATCGCTGTTCCGGGGGTAATAATCCCTTCAAAAAATAATAATAATAATAATGTGGTCAATCAATCCACGACAATCAATTGCTGTGCGCAATTGGCTGCCCCATTTCGCCCACAAAATATATAGTTAATTCAATTTACAGTATATTCTGTGAAAGCGCTTTGAGACGTCCTTTAAACGGGTATAGCACATGGAAGGATAGTTATTATTAATTTCTTGCAGGAGGTGTGTGAATGGTTAATCTTGTTTCTCCTCCCCCGTCCCCCCATCATCTCCCCACCCCACCCTCCCCTTACACAGGTATGACCCCAGCACAGGCCGCTGATGTGGGGTTGCAGTATATGCTGGACAGGGTGCATAGCCCAGGTGGGTTGATCGTTGTGAATGGCTGTGGGGAATGGGCGGCTAAGTTCAAAACTGCCAACATGTCGTGGGCAGCAGCTCAGGGGGAGCAGGTGATGTGTGGCATTGCCCAAGGGGAAGTCCGCACTGCCCAAATCTCCGATCTCATTCAGCAATAGCCAGCCTGCAGCGGAGAGAGCTCTTCAGGTAGGACCCTGCCGTGCGCAATTGGTTGCTGCGTTTCGCCCACAAAACAGTCAATTCACTTTACAGTATATCCCGTGAATCGCTTTGAGATGTCTCAATGACCTGATAAGGTGCTATATCAAATGCAAGGATTGTTATTATTATTATGTACTGACCACCAGATAGTTCCTATTTGGTTCCTGGCTCGGTTGGTAGCACCTTCGACTCTGAATCAGAAGGTTCAAGCCCCATGTTGAGACTTTTGAGCTGACAGTGTAGGGGTAGCTCTACATTATGTCCTTCAGATAGTCATTAAACCAAGGTCCTGTCTGCCTGTTGAGGTGGTCGTTAAAAATCCTGGAGCAGGTGGTTTTAGAGGCAGTCAGTGTCAGATCCGCTCTAGTAAACCAACAACAACAATATTACATTTATATCACGCTTTTCACGTCTGAAGGATGTCCCAAGGCGCTGCATAATCCTACAGTGTGTTGTATTCCCACGCGTTCCCCGTCCATTCAAAGTCACACGTTCACACACAGTGTCCAACAATACTCAGTGTTAGCTCATCTTTCTCTTTTATTGCTGCCGCTCGCATCGGTTTACCACGCTGACGGGTTGCCTTTATATCTCCCCCGTTTCACAGACGACTGCATTTGACCTGAAAGCCTCAGCAGAACAGACAGTGTGAATGAAGATCACACGGTTCAACCACTGCACTGTGTGTGTGTGCTCTGCATGTGTATGCATATTCATGCACATTCGCTTGTCCTGTGGCTATGCAAATGAATGCAAATGTGTGTAGGTGCATGTTGCCCGGTGTGGGTGTGTGGCATGTATGTGTGCATATATGCTTGCACACGTGTGCATGTTACTCCTCTTGATAGTTTTATCAACAAACGCAACTTGCATTTATTTAGCGCTCTTCACGAGATCCTCTCACTCGTCTACAAATCCCTTCACGTTCTGGTGCCTCCCTACCTTTCTGACCTGCTTTCTCCCTCCTCCACTACCTGATGTCTCGGTTCGACAGGTTCTAGCCTCCTACTTGTCCCTCATTCCCTCCGCTCCACCATCGGCGGCCGCATATCCAGCTACTACACCCTGAAGCTTTGGAACTTTCTCCCCCCCAATCCCTCCGCCTTGACCCTCCCCTCCCCACTTTTAGAATATGACTGAAGACCTTCTTCATTGACTGTGCTTACGGTCACGTCCTCCCTCCCCCCGGCTCGATGTTAGGCTCCGCCACTGTTAAGCGCTCTGAGACGCTGTCCTACGTGAAGGGAGTTATATAAAGTTGTTGTTTTTAACTCAGTTGAACCCAATAGCCTCTTTCTGCTATTCCATAAGTATCTGTAATTAACCTTGACTAAAGATTTAATTAAAAAAACAAGTAACAATTAACAAAATAATAATAAATGATTATTATGTTGCATCAATCCTTGCATTTGATACAACAGCTTTTTGGTCGAAAAGATAATAATAATAATCCTTGCATTTGATAATGCGCCTTATCACGTCATTGAGCCGTCCCAAAGCGCTTCACAGAACACACTGTAAAGTGAATTGACTGTATATTTGTGGGCGAACGCGGCAGCCAATTGCACACAGCAATGTCCCACAAACAGTCGTAGATTGAAAATGATCAATTTATTATTGTTTTTTTTTTGGAGGGATTATTATTAGGCTCTGTGTGGAGTAAGGAAACTTGCCCAAGGTTTGGCCCTGACCTGTCGGGGATTGAACTCAGGTCTCTCGCTTGCAAAGCGAGTGCTCTAACCACTGAGCCACAGAACTCCACTGAGCCACAGGACTCCATCTTTTGAAGATGCTTCAAAGCGCTTTGCGGGATTTTACCGTTAAGTGTAATGACTTTGTATTTGTAGGCAAATACAAATTGGTTCAATAAAGTGCAGCGTTGTGTTTTAATTGAGTCCTGTAGCATAATGGTGAGAGCACTCAATTCGCAAGCGAGAGGACCTTGGGTCAATTCCCGGGCAGGGCAAAACCTTAGACAAGTTTCTTTCCTCCACACGCCTCTGTTTACTTAGCAGTACAACAACAGCAACAACAACAACATCAACAAAATTACATTTGTATAATGTCTTTCACGATGGGAGGACATCCCAAGGTGCTGAAAATTCAGTGTGGGTTGGGACTGGGGAGGGTGGAGGGCAGAAGGGGAAGAAGGGTGATTAAAGTCACAGTCGAAGAGGGTCTTGAAATTGATCTTGAAGGAGGCAAGGATGGGGGTGAGACAGAGGGTCTGCGGGATGGGGTTACAGAGGGTATGGGCAGCGTGGCTGAAGGCCCGCCCACCATGGTGGGGCGGGTGAGGCGGGGGATGTGAAGCAGGCCGGAGCCCGCTGAGCAGAGGGAGCGAGCAGGACGGTAGGGATTTAGAAGGTCGCAGAGGTAGGGGGAGCAAGGCCATGGAGGCGAGGTCCAGGATCTTGAACTGTATCCTCTGTTTGAGGGGAAGCCAGTGGAGTCGGGCGAGAATGGGGGTGATAGGATCACAGAGCCTGGTGCGGGAGAGGACACGGGCTGCCGAGTTCTGGATGATCTAGAGCTTATGGAGGGAGGAGTTGGGGAGGCCGATAAGCAATGAGTTTGGATAGTCAAGCCTGGATGTAATGAATGCGTGTATGACGGTTTCGGCGACCTATGGTGTGAGACAGTGGCGGGCCGGGTGACGTTGCGGAGGTGGTGGAAGGCAGAGCGGGTCATGATACGGATGTGGGGTAGAAAGGATAGTTGAGGGTCAAACAAGACGCCAAAGATCTGGACTCGCTTAGCAAGGTGGAGTGTGCAACCTTGTAAGTGCATCCTTGTAAGCAGTAAGTAGGAACGCGGTTGATAGTCGATTGGCGGATCGCTTTCTGGGATAATAACCTTTTAAAAAAAATAATAATTTGGTAACTCAATCCACGACTGTTTGTGTGACATTGCTGTGCCCAATTGGCTGCCTGGTTTCGCCTACAACATACAGTCAATCCACTTTACAATATATTCTGTGAGGCACTTTGAGAGTCTGAATGACTTAACAAGGCACGATATCAAATGCAAGGGTTATTTAATGAATGAAACTAATTGTGCAAGTTGGTTTTAATCTTCCCCTCCCTGGGATGGAGACAGAAGCTGCCGAGCTTATCAACAGGGAAATGGCTTGACATATTTATCAAGATTTCCATATGGAGGGAGTTGGGCCTTGAATTCCTCATCCAATTCCTGTCATTCAAATAAATAAGAGAGATTTGACAACTTCCTTCCTTTAGGCGGGTTTCAACATTTCAACATTTCACAAAGCTGCCAGCTAAAACCAAGGCTGAGAACACAACTATGTGGTGATATAGTGATTCAAAACTCCTCACCAGCACCAAACTCCACATCCCCCATCACCCCCGTCCTTGCCAGGCTCCATTGGCTCCCTATTGCAGAATGGATCGATTTCAAGATCCTAGCACTTGCCTATAAATCACTTTACGCCCTGGCACCTCCCTACCTCTCCAACCTGCTCACACCTCACTCCTATATACGCCCACTTCGCTCAGCCGTCTCTGGCCTTCTGTATGTCCCTCATCGTCTCAGCTCCACCATCGGCAGCCATGTTTTCAGCCACTACGCCTTGAGACTCTGATGCTCTCTGTCCAAAACAATCTTTTTCTCTTTCAAATTCCCTTGTGGCAAGTGCTAACCCATCCATAGACTATCTATGTTTCCTATTCTTATTTTATCTTAGAATACAGTGCAATTGGTGACCTGTAGTTTAGTGGTTAGAGCAGTCGCCTCACAAGTGAGAGACCTGGATTTGATTCCTGGAAGGGCAAAATGTTGGGCAAGTTTCCTTACTCCAATCCTTATTCCAACTCTGTTTACCCAGCAGTAAGTAGGAACCCAGTTGTTCATTGATAGGCAAATCTCTTTTCCGGGTATAATAATTCCTTAAAAAAAATTGGTCACTCAATCCACGACCTGTGCTCAATTGGATGCTGTGTTTCGCTCACAAAATATAAAGTCAATATATTCTGTGAAGCGGTTTGAGAGGTCTCGAAGACGTGATGAGGCGCTATATCAAATGCAAAGATTATTATTATAAATACAGATTTACATTTACACAGCGCCTTTGACATCAGGAAGACATCCTGAGGTGTTTCACAGTCCTGGCTTGGGATCCAAGATGGGAGTGGAAACCAAGCGGGTGGGAGCTGAGGGGGTGGGAGCTAAGGGTGGGGGTTGGAAGATGACCCAAGGCTCAGTCAAAGAGGAAGATTTTGAGACAGACCTTGAACAATGTGAGGGAGGGAACGAAACAGATAAATAAATACTGGAAGGTACCACACTTGGGATAATCTGCATTAAACATCATTTGCCAGTTATCAGCCCAACGTGCACACCCTCTCACGTTCTATTTGTAAGACCTTTCGAGCCTCCCTTGATTCCACGCCCAATTTGGTATCATCTGCAAATGTAACCATCTCCACTGGGTATAACAACAAGCACTTCCAATTTTCATCAATTAGATTTGTCCCCCACGTAAAAATTGGTCACTCATTCCATGGCTGTTTGTGGCACATCACTGTGCTCAACTGGCTACTGCATTTTCCCCACAAAATACACAGTCAATTTACTTTACAGTATTCCCTGTGAAGCTCTTTGAGACACCTGAACGATGGGATAAGGCTCAATACCAAATGCAAGGATTCTTATTCTTATTATTATTTTATTATTATTATTTCATGAAGCACTTTGAGATGTTTGTCTTACATAAAAGATAGTATAATGTTCTCACAGTCCAGCCGTCCCTATAGGAGGGTGGTGGTGATCAGGCACAATATATGTTATCTCGGAAACTGGAGGAGATGGCTGTCAGACTCCCTATTAACTCAGACCTCAACCTTATGTGCCACTGCGGGGCGCCAAACACTGTGAAAACAGAACAGCTAGTGTTACACATTATAACCTGCACCTCTCTATCCATCACCTTATATAGAATAACATGCATCACTTTTGGGGGGAGTCAGCTGACACGTACTATGTGGTTTTAACTGGTTCGACTCCAATGCACACTCTGGGGTCCCCAAGCCTTCCCTCTTGCCAACCTGTGCCTAATACTTTCTGGAATTAGGTGACAACAACAACAACAAAATTACGTTTGTATAGCGCCTTTCACATCAGGAGGGGGGTCCCAAGACTCTGAGCTGTGAGTAGCAGGATGTGTCCCTCCAGGGAGAGAGTGAGCGTTCCTTTCCAACAACAAAGTACATTTATATAGCGCTCTTCAGAATCTGCTCCTAGAATCAAGACATAGAAATGACCGAAGGACAGAGAGAGAGAGAGAGAGAAAGAAAGGGGGTGTGAGGGTAGGGAGGGAAAAGGAGAGGGATACAGGTTGAAAATCAAAGAAAATGTCGAGAGACGGAGATAAACTCCACTCACTTGTTGTCTTGACACATCCTGAAGTGAATGATGTAGTGGTGGGGTGTGTGGGGGGGGGAGACTATTTGTGGACACTGCTGTGCGCAATTGGCTGCCGTGTTTCGCCCACAAATATACGGTCAATTCACTTTACAGCATATTCTGTGAAGCGCTTTGAGACGCCTCGAAAACGTGAAAAGCGCTATATCGAATGCAAGGATTATTATTATTATTAAAGTAATTAAAGCGAACTCGAAGCAATCTTTTACAAGTACCCCTGATATGGAGGATCCGCAGCAATAACACTGAGTAAACCTGGTGACTTGATAGGCGTTATATCAAATACAAGCATTATTATTATTGTTATTTTACTAATGTCATTTATTATTAGTGGTTGTGGTCAGAATTGCTACGAAAATCTCACCTTTCCCGATGGAAAAATGTGTGTGTGTGTTTGTGTGTGTAAGGGGGGGGGGCTCTTATTTGCTGTTAAGTCCAATAAAGAGTGGAGGGTTGGATAAAAGTTTGTTTGGAAAACTGTCAAGTTGGTCTGAGTTGCCAAGGCTGCTTTTGGAGCCCCCTTTCTGTCTTGTCCATCAATCACCTGGGCAATCGACACACCCACAGAGGCTGACACTGTGTGTGTGTGTGTGTGTGTTTGTGCAAAAAAAAGTTTCAATCTCTCCTTTTTGGAGGGGGGGAGAAATGCAAGGATTTGAGGATGGGAAAGGGGGAGAGAGTGGAAATGAGATCTGCAAAATGTAAGGATCTCTCACAAAGCTTTTGTCAACCCACTCAAAGCAACCCAGAGAGGCAAAGCCCTTTAAAATGTGGTCCTCAGGTTTGGGGGAGAGGGAGAGGTGGGGGTGGTTTGTAATTGTGGGATTGTGACTGGTGTCTGGGGGGAGTTTTATGTGTGTGTGTGTGTGTTTAAAAAAAATAGGGTATTTTGACAGCACGACCAGATTGTTTACAGTGTGCATTTC